AAAAAAAAAAAAAGAACTATAATAAAACACAAGATATAACAAAATAAAACAATAAAATGGGTATACTACACAAATGCAAGAATAAAATTATTTTTTAACGAAGGAAGGAGAGTAGTCCACAATAGGCTCCTCAAATTTCTCATCCTTTGCCACACCTTGTCCCCATAGGTTACTGTTTCCCAATTTGTTACTTTGTCTTCCTCCCCACCCCTATGTTACTTTGTTCCTGGTCTCCCCTATGGCAGAGGTGCACTTGTGCACTTTCTTTTTCTTTCTTTCTTTTTTTTTTTGTAGAGACAGAGTCTTACTTTATCCCCCTCCGTAGAGTGCCGAGGTGTCACACTGCTCACAGCAACCTCCAACTCCTGGGTTCTTGCCTCAGCCTACTGAGTAGCTGGGACTACAGGCAGCCGCCACAATAGGCACCAGGCTATTTTTTTGTTGCAGTTCGGCTGGGGCTGGGTTTCAACCTGCCACCCTCCATATATGGGGCCAGCGCCCTACCCACTGAGTAACAGGCACCATCCAGAGTTATCTTGTTTTTTTGTTTTTTTTTTCAGCTGTCATTGATGTTTTACCTGGCTGGGGTCGGGTTTGAACCTGCCACCCTCAACATATGAGGCTGGCGCCCTACCCACAGGTGCCACCCCTTGTGCACTTTCAACATTAGCTTTTGCTCACATTTTGTTCCTACCTTGAAGGGATTAATAAACTAAATCCAACAATGAGCAAATCAGCCACATTCACTGCTCTTGCTCCCCTATGACTCTATGTGATAGAATTAGTAACAACATCCCTGATTCCTCAAAGTCCCTAGACAGTCTTTTTATTTTGTTCTTTATGTCCCAGTCACTCTCTTTTGCTTACTCAGAGGTAAACTTCTTATTGTTCGGGAAAAGGTGTTCTCTTTGCTCTAGCTATAGGTTATGCTGCAGCTATGTCTGCCTGGGGCAATGAGCCACTCATTCCTCCGGGGTAGCAGATCAGCCCATCTCCCATTAGGCAAGAGAACTCATTGGAAAAGTTTAGATTGTTGGAAGCTCAGGTAAGTTCACTGTGGGAAAAGGTTATCAGTTGAAGGCCTGGGATGAATGAGAAAAAAAAAATCATTGGTGGTAGTGTACAGAGTGAATTAAAGAAAAGTAAAGGCAGTTGGGAGCCTGAGGAATCCCACCATTCAGAGAGAGATAGATGAGCCTTCAGAGGAAACAGAGGGGTCAATGGAGGAATGAGAAGATCTAGATGTGGGGGGGAGGGTAGAGGCCCAGGGAGCAGGGACATCATGAAGTTCCATGTATGTTGACCAGCAGTGTGCCCTTGCTATGTTTTGGGTGGGGCCATAAGAAGTGTTCCTGAACTGTGGCTAAGAGGGGTGGAGAACAGCATCTGCAGTACCCAAAGGGGAGCTGAGGGGCCCTTGGCAAGAGGCAGGGTCACCTCAACAAAGAAAAGTTTATTTGAAGGAGCACATGTAGAGGAAAGGTGAGTATCCACATGAAAGAGGTGCACAGCTGCATCTACCTGTATCTGGACCACCTGAGGGTCTAGAAAGCAAGTGTCCTCAAACACCCCATGGGCCACATGTGGCCTGCCTATGACATTTATCCAGCCTGCTGGGTGTTTTTGCCACTGCTGCCTATCCTGCTTAGCAGCTGACTTGTCCCAGAGGCCCACAGTCCAGCCCTCCAACGGTCTGAGGGACAGTTAACTGGCCCCGTTTAAAAAGTTTGAGGACCCCTGATCTAGAGCACAGCAGGCCTCAGTTCAGTGGTCCTTATACCTGAGCTCCATGAGAAATACCCACTAAGGGACTTGGTACAGCATGGATTGACAGGCCCTGCCCCAAGAGCTTCTGACCTAAGAAGCTTGGTGTGCACCTCAAGAGCATACATTTCTTTTTATTTCTTTCTTTCCTTTCCCTTTTTCTTTTTGGAGACAGAGTCTCACCCTGTTACCCAGGTTAGAGTGCTATGGCATCATAGCTCACAGTAACCTCAAACTCTTGGGCTCAAGCAATCCTCTTGTCTCAGTCTCCTGAGTAGCTGGGACCATAAGCACTTGCCATCATGCTGGGCTAATTTTTCTATTTTTAGAAGAGGGAGGGTCTCACTCTTGTTTAGGCTGGTCAAATTCCTAAGCTCAAGCAGTCCACCCGCCTTGACCACCCAGAGTGCTAGGATTATAGGCATGAGCCACTGCGCCTCAGCAAGAGCATACATTTTTAATGAGTTTTCAGATGCTGCTGATGCTGGCTGGTTGGAGACACCTGAACTGAATCTTGGTGTTACTGCCTGCTAACTATGGAATATGGCAGAATACCTCTAAGTGCCAGTTTATTCTTCTGGGAAGTAGAGTAATGAATGTCCACTTGATGAGTTGATATAAGATCATGCAGGCCTACCCCTAACATTTGCAGGAGCCAGGGAAGAGAATGAAGGTCCATAAATTAAAATATTTAAGTATTGAAAAATTGTGACTTAGGCTGGCCAACTGATCAGTATGTTCCTTCCTCCCACTTTCAGAAAAACAGTGTCATTACAACCTGGAAGACCAGGTTTCAGCTTAGAATCCATGGTCTCTATAATGCTCCACTTCTGAATATGGGGTCATGCAGGGAGCTAGCTCCAGCTCTCATCTGTGGTTGCCCCTCTTTTCTCTCATTTCTGGTTCCATCTTGTTGCCAAGGGATCTGGGTACACATGTGTGCACACCCCCATGCATCCATCTTGTCCTCAGGCCCCTTGAGCCTAGGCCTAAGGGTGGTATGGTCAATTGACATGGTGTGTGCAGAGGCCTGAGCAAAGAGCCAGCATCAGGCAGGGCTATAATTATTATTGTGCTCACTCTCTACCCCAGCCACTGCCCTTTGAGAGGACATGGCAAGGTGTTCCTCTGAGGCTACTTCCATAGCCAGGTCTCGGTGAGACAATAGATCACCCAGGTGGGACTTAGATGGCATCCCTTTCTACTGAAAAGCACCGGGATTCTCCATCAGGTCTCTGAGCAATGGGCCCTACTCTTCTCTGTGCAATCTGAGAAAGAGCTTGCACTGAGCTTGCTGGGTGGCAAGCTGCCTCTAGATCCCTTGCACCTCATAGCAGCCCATGCATACCTGAGCTAATGTGGCACTAGGATATCTTTATTACAGCAGGACAGGCTTTGAGGGAGGCCGGGAAGGAGGTAGAGAGGGAGGCCAGGAAGGAGGTGGAGAGGGTGGCCGGGAAGGAGGTGGAGAGGGAGGCCGAGAAGGAGGTAGAGAGGGAGGCCTGGAAGGAAGTGGAGAGGGAGGCTGGGAAAGAGGTGGAGAGGGAGGCCGGGAAGGAGGTGGAGAGGGAGGCTGGGAGGGAAGTTGGGAGGGAGGAATGGAGGGCGAGGAGGGGCCTGCTCCCTCTGCTTGTCCTTGTTGGTCTTCTCCTTGGTCAATAGGCACAGGGCAGGCAAAACTCAGGAAGATGTCTTCCAAGGAGACCTGGCTGACCGAGTAGTCATCCAACCTATACTTATTCTTGGCTTGCTCCAGAATGCCAAACACCTGTGGGAAGGGAGGATGCTGCAGTGACAGGTTCTGCCATAGACAATGGACACAGGGAGGAGAAAGAGTGCAGAGGGTAAAAAATGAGCTGGCCTCTGGGATTGTGACAAGGATCCCAAGAGATCTATCCCTCTTTAGGCTGCCCCAGAGCACCTCCCAAGAAGTCAGTCCAATGAAACTTAGCTGTCTGTGTTCTCAGGGTTGAGAATGCTGCCAGAAGGGCAAAGGCCTAGATGGTTTCCTGGCTTATGCTGTGACCTGGGACAAGTAAGCATCCTCTTTCTGTGATATGAAGGAGTGGGAAGAGCTGATCTCTTAGGTTCCTTCCAGGTCAAACACATCATGTGCTGTGAAACCTCCAGGAAGGCTGCCATGGGGACAGCAAGAGGACAGCAATAGCTTGGGTACTGTGATACTTGGAGCAGGGGGGAATAACTGGGATAACAGAGTTATCCCAGAAAACAGTCACATCGAAGGTCTGTGCCTACCTTTGCCCAGCTGAGGTCACGGCCGGGCAGGTGGTATTGGACCATCCCTTGGTGTTCATCTTCCAGGACACTGCCTGCATGAAGGAGAGACTGTTCTTGTGAGGGCTGGTGGGAGGAGGAGAGGGCTGCCTTGGAGCATGGGTCCAGGGCCCTCATCCCAGGGCTCAGGGAGATGGGACTTGAAAAAGGTGAGGCAAAGAGGGTTAGGCAGGGGTCCAGGGCCCACCCAGTAGGTGCTGTGAGGGCTGGCACACACCTGGGAAGGTCAGGTTCACGAAAGCCTTGAACTCCTTCAGCGCCTCCTGCTGCCCTTCACTCTGGACCTTGGCCCGCAGGGAGTAGCCACTGCCGAACTTGCTCTTGAGGTGCTGAGTGCTGCCCAGGCACTTGAACTGCCCCTGGACCATGATGGCCAGCCGGGTGCACAAGGCCTCACATTCTTCCATGCTGGGGAGAGGGGTGGAGGCCTGAGACAGGGCTGGGGGATGCTGACTCCTACCCTGGTGTCAAAAGTTTGTGCAGACAGGAAGGTGTTGGACACCCAGCTAGGGTGGTCCTGGTCCCTGTGCTCAGACTATGGCCCACATGCCAGGCCTGGGGAAATCTCCCCACAGAGTCCGCATCAGCTGCTGACAGCCTCTGTGGCTCAGCCCTGCCAGTCAGCCCTCCCATGGCCCAGTTCTGGCTCTTCCACTGACCCACAGAGACCCAAGTTCTACCTGTGGGACGTGATGACAATGGCCTTGCCAGACTCACGGGCCCGGGCCACAGCATTCCAGAGCAGGCGCCGGGCCACAGGGTCCATGCCAGTGGATGGCTCGTCCAGGAAGATGACTGCAGGCTCTCCAATCAGGGCAATGCCGGTGCTCAGCTTCCGTTTGTTACCACCACTGGGCAGAGGGTAAAAGACCCCAGGGAATGGCAATCACCAGTCTCCAGCAGTGAACCTGGCTGGTTCAACATTGACCTCTCCTCTATTGTTTAGGAAGTGCTCTGACATCTCTCACAAGGACTTCAGAAATGTGGTCCCAACGCCTTCACCCAAGGCTGAGTTATGACTTGGGTTGTCCACTCAAAGGATAAAAAATTCCCCTGGACACAAGGATCATCCTAAGGTGAGCACATGGTCAATGAGTCTTCTTTTAGGGTCTCTATGGATGCTGGCAGGGGAGCATTTCTCCTCTATCTGAGAGTTAGGGAATGGGACTATTTTGGAAATATATATTTTTTAACACAGGTAGCATTTATTATGTGAAAGACACTCTTATAATATTTGCAAGTGTAAACTCATTTAAGCTTGAAAAGGAGCAAGGGAACATGAAATTTTGGTGCCAACAGAGAGACAAAGATGGACGAGTTAAGGACATTATCATCTGATCCTTGGGCCCACTGAGCCAGATGTCAGCGTATCTCTGGACTTCCCGGTCCTGGGTTGCAGTACCGCCATAACCTCCAGGGGCGCTGTGCACAGGGCAAAGGGAGTCCTTGGAACCAACAGCATGTGGCCTTGCTTTAAGCTACTTGGAGTTGGGTTTCTCTCACTGGAAACAGAGGCTGAGGAATGCCTCAGGCTCCTCAGCAGAACATCAGCAATTCAAATGCCTCAGACACAGAGCAATGTAGTAACTGTGGGTTTAAAATGCAAACATACCAAATATAGAAAGCCCTTCATGAAGTGGCAAGAAGCAAGGTCTGTCCTCACCCTGCCAGCACAGTAACACTGGTGGTGCCATTAGTCTACCCTTACTCATGTCAGTTACCTACAGGAAATGGAGACCACTCCATTACCTGCACAGCTGCCCAATAGCCAAAGCTGGCAGCCTCTGCCCTGTGCTTATCCTATAACTGGGAGTTGAGGAAAGTCTCAGATCTTACCTGTAGGTCTTTATCAGCTTATCAGCATATATGTCCATAACTAGATCCTCAAGAATCTGGTCCACACAAGCACTAATGTGGCGCTCGGGGATGCCCCGGATCCGGGCATACATGATGAGCATCTCACGGCCTGTCATGAAGTTCAGCAGACCACCAAACTGAGGACAGTAACCAATCCACTGCCTCACCTGGGGTTAGAACACAGTCCAGAGAAGAAGGCTTGTCAAAGGGAAGCTTCCTCCTACCAGGGTCATCAGACTTCAATTAGGTAGGACCTGGACACCTGCCAGGCCTTGCTCCAGGCTCCTGTCCCTGTCTTGTCAATACCCATGTTTGCCAGGTGAATAGACATGTATACCATGAAGGGATAATGAATGGGATTATAATCACATAAGGAAGCCTGGGACGCAGCTCTTGCTGGTGGCGTCTGTGGACAGGCCATATCTGGAGGGTACATGTGGAATGAGAGCTTACATGCCTTGTCCTCCTGCCCACCTGCTGTGAAGCCCCAACACCTAACACCTTCATGGTTACTCTGAAGTAAAATCTGCAATTGACAGAAAAGACTTGCTTTATTTCTTTTCCCCTTTAGAAATATTTTCTACTAGACTTGTAATCTGTAAAAATACTTTCTTTGTAAAATATTCATACAAAGGTTACTGGAGTCACTACTGGGGGCCTGCCCCAGGCCCAGTGGTCAGGCTCCCACGCAGACCTGTGCTCTCTGCCCAGGGCTGACTGTGTGTTGTTTTTGTTCAGCAGTTTCATCATCCTCTGTCTACTTGGTAATGTGCTTTCTAACTCAACTTTGTATCTTAAAGATCTTTCTGGGTCAGTAAATACAGACCTACCCCCACTCAGTTTAGCTGCAGAAGGAAGGTTTCTAGATTTTATTTGGTTGTTTAAAAAATTTGGGCATATCTGAGTTATTTCCATGTTTTTGCCATTGTAAACTTGCAGCCAGGTACGTTGATTTGTGCTCATATTCATCTGCTCCTAGCTGCCAGTTATGAAAAGTAACCAATGTTTTTTCCCTCCTATTTACTCCCCATCCTTCTTCCCCATTCAACTAGCACGGATAGCCCTGGGCTCCACTGCTCATGGGTGGAAGGTGGGGAGGATGTAACAAGGTGCAGAACAGGAAGCCACCTGGAGTGTCTGCTCAGAGGAACAGGGAAGGGAGGTGATGTCAGCAGAGACCTCACACAATTGGCTCCCAGAGTGAGGTTTCTCCTGATGACAGATGTCCCAGCCTGAGGGAACTGCTGAGAAGACACAAATGACTTGAATAAGGAGTCCTCAAATATGTCACTGTTAAATATGAAGATTTCTAGTAGACTGCATTTATAAAGTTATTTTAACTTAATGTTTTTTCTGCTCCTAATTTGCTAAGAATTTTTAAAAGTTGAGGAATTCTTTAACCAATTAAGGTAATGATTTGTAATGGCAGATTTTATTACTGTAAGTACATTTCTGGAATGAACTTGACTTGATCTTACTTTTTATGCATTCAAATACTGGTAATGTGCACAGTTGACATCTTATTTAGGATATTGCATTTTGGGTGCTGCCCTTGTCTCCTTTTGCTATCACTTATGATTTGGGTGCCATCTGCCTTCTCCCATGCTTGGAATGGGTTATATGAGAAATAAATGACCTATTTTACCATGGTTGTGGCTCACCCACCAGTCCTTTTCAGTTTAGAGTCTTTTAAGAAGTAGTAAATCTTCAACCATCATTTCAATTTTTCTTCCAGTTTTGGTCTATATAAGTTTTCT